TCCCTCAGGCCCCTGGGAGCAGACTGCAGGGTGGTTCTGAGCTGCGCTTGGCCCTCCTCGCCACAGCCAGGCTTCTGTCCAGGCTCCAGGGCCTGACGGCTGATGCTAGTGGACTGTACTCGGTGCTGCTGAGCCAGGGCATTTCCAGCATTAGTGATTCACAAACTCCAACTGGCAGAGCTTTCTTGGGCTCCTTCTTTTTTCGGAGCCCCTTCTCTCAAACTGCCTTTGAAATAAACCTCCAACTGGCCAAGTTCTGCCCCATAGTGAGGTGGCCCCCCAAACGCCCAACTTGGGGTGATGCCTGGGTCCCACCCTGCACTGGGCTTTGGAGACGCGGTCTGTCCTGCTGTCACAGTGCCCAGCCTGACACCCTGAGTGTGCAGCAGCTGTGAGCTCTCAGGCCTCCGAAGCTGCAGCTCCTGAAATGTAAGGAGGGCATGCTGAGCCCTCCAGGGACATGCGGGTGCACACCTGTGTCCAGCAAGGTCTTGGCCACACAAGTCCCCCTGGCCCCACTGGAGACTGTGTTCTGAGCAACCATGGGTGCTCATGATGGCAAGAGACGAGTTCTGCCACCTTGGCCCTGCAGAATGGGGAGGAACATCAATCACCACTAATCCCATCTGTGAGGTGGATCCTCCAGAACCTGACCCAAAGCGGGAGCCAGGACTGCCTCTGTCCTCTAGACAGGGGTTTGGAGAACACATTCACCTGGGCCGGCCTCTCTCTGCCTGGTGGAACGCTCAACTCCTGCAGGCCGATGCTGCCCCCATGACAGGGATGGTGACAGAAGGCCCAGCTGCAGAGGGGCCGGCAGATGGCAACGTGGCAATGCCCAGCTTGAGCTGGGAAGTCGGTCAGCCAGGCCCATATCTGAGCCCAGCTCCATCTCTACAGTCAGGGACCTTGAGCAAGTTATGACACACACTATTCCAAAACTGTTTCACCTCAGGTCTAGGGAGACTGAGGCAGGAGGCTCACCATGAGTTTGAGGGCAGCTGGGGCTACATCATGAGAACTTGTCTCAAAAAAATTTTTTCCTCATCTGCAAAGATGCAGGTAAAGGACCATGAGGAGCATTGAAAGAGACAAGGGACATCGAGGGGGTGCAGACCACAGCTCAGCCTGCTGCTGGTGCACATGAAGACCAGTTTCTTTTTTGCAGGGAGCTCCTCATGGGAGGGAAAACTATCCCGTGGCTAAGTGTTCACCCAACTTTTATTTTCTGCTCTGCACGTGCCCTTGACCCCAGGGCCTTCTCTAAAGTCAGCTCAGGGTCGGGAAGGAGTTCTAGCCCACAGGAAGCGTCCCACACGGTGCGCACCACGGCTGACCTTCCCCATCAAGGCTCCAGCCCAGGAGCCAAGCAGGCGGAGCCCGGGACACCAGCACTCAGATCCCGCAGGAGCAGCCCTGAGCAAGCCAGAAGCCGCTGTCCCGTCCCATCCTGCCGCCCACCCAGGGGAACATCATCACTTCAGCATGGCATCGCCTACTCCGACAGGTCACAAACACAAACGAGCAGAGGGGACCTGCAGACCAGACCCGCGAACCAGCTTGCCTAAGATGCGGGGGTATTCCCAGGCAGGTGGACACGGCCAGTGCAAATTTTCAACAGGATGAAAATAAATCAATTAAAACAAAATTGCTAATTTCCCATTCAGTGGGACCCAGAGAGCACTGCTGGTGTGGGACAGGTCTGGGAAAGGGAAACCTTCACACAGCGTCTCTGTTTCTCCATCCTTTGCCCAACGCATTGCATGATTCTGTGAATTAAAAACGTGCTTTCTAGAATGTTCAACAAATTGACAGTGAATGTCTACAGTGGAAACACCAGGCATCACAGCATATGCCTCGTCTGGGGGCCACCTGTTGACCATTTGTAACTGGGGGACACAGAGTCAGAAGTGATTTTGGCCAGTCTGTTAGAATGCGGCTACACATGTTTAACAAACACATTCTCTGGACTCCGGCTGTCCTCTGCCAACAGATCAGAAACTAACCCTGGAGGTACTGTTTTTGAAGACCCCAGGGCCTTTGCATATTCTTCACCTTCTGCCTGGAATGCTCATTCTTTATGACTAGTTCCTCTTCATCAGATCTATGACCAAAGATCATATCCTCAAAGATTCCTTCTCTAGCCCCTCTGTCTAGAGGAGGTACCCCTCTCTTCCCTATCTTAGCACCCCACCTATTTCCTGCATAACACTTATTGTATGTGATTTGGAGAGGTTTCTCCCACTAGGGCCTACCTTAATGTCTCCACGTAGGTGAGCTCACAAAGCACCTGTAGTACTGAGACCAAGTCCAGCTGGATTCTGATGGTGCAGCTGGTATCACAGCAGAATCTTCCCGACAAATTGTCTCCTCTGTAGAACTACCCCTGCTGCCTTCTATGAGATTGTATAGGTAAATTAAAATCTTCTGCGTGTCAGATTCTGGATTACGTAGTTTATTTCATGTAATCTTCAAAATAACTCTAAAAGTTGGCCATGATAGGTTTTCTCTTCGTGCGGTAGAGAAGCAAAAGCAGAAAAGGGCAAAATGAAAAAGTCCTTTTATTGCAGGCACAAGATGCCTGCAGAAGAGTGCAAAGACCCCTCTGAGGCTGACAAGCAGCGGGTTTTAATTCGGTTTGATAGGGGGTGGAGCTTGAAGAGCTTGAATGACGTATTGACAGCTGATTGGGAGAATGTTGATGCACGCGTGAAAAGCGGAAATTCAATTTCGGCTTGGAAGGAAGCCGGAAGTCAGCATTGAAGAGACACGCTGTCTTTAGGGTCCAGCATCACGTTGGGCAGGCGCGACGCTGAGCCTGGCACAGCTTCACACAGGCAGAACCCATCAGTGATGTAGCGTTCTAGTCAGGAAATGGAGGCTCAAAGGAGGTGATTAACCTGGGCTCCTCCTTGGGCACTCTGTGCCTACCATAAGGCTGGGTATTGCCTACACAGGTGGTCACGTGATCCAAACCGGCCAATTGGAGCACCTGTCCACCTGCAGGCTGGGCCAGTGGAGCCACGTGACCCAGGCAAGGCCAATCAAAGTCCTGCTTTGTTTCATTGCGGCTGGAGCATCAAGAACCCACGGAATCCTGGATGACACATAACCCTGCCACTGCCCAGAACTGTCTTGCCACAGCATGAGGCGATCCTGCCTGAGACAGAAGCCAGGGACTCCCCTGAGTCCCTGGATCCAACTGTGCCCGAGACAAACCCCTTGGACTTTCACGTTACTTAATGTGCTTTGAGTGAGTTTCTGCCACTTGCCACTACGTGAGGCTGCAGTGAACATCGTGTAGAAGTCCAATAAGCATCAGTTCTCTGTTTTCCTACTGCAAGTGACCACTGCCCAGCTGACATGTCACCTGCCTCCACCTTGGCCACCCCACTTCCTCTCTGGCCTTTGCGCATCACAGCTGGCCCGCCCGTGCAACGCACATGCTATTTCTCTTTCCATGTGCAAGCAGTGCAACATCTTCCAAAGCCTCCCTGCTGAGCAGACTTCACTTGGCCCCTTGCTCTGCAGAGGACAATAACCCTGGCAGCTGCCCACTTAATGACATAGGGACCGCAGGAGGGATGCAGAGCCCTCAGGCCAGGCATGGTGCCTTCAGTACCCAAGTCCAAAAGTCAGAAAGTCCTGCCCTGCAAAGGACGGACCACTGGCTCCCAGAGAGAGTCTTATACTCAAGGTAGATTCCTCACGGCCCTCTCCCAGATGGTGAAGCCGTGTTAAGAGAAGTCATCGCACAGTTCAGAAAACCGAGCCCTGAAGAGCTGAGTAATTTGACTTCCTAACGATCAAGTCCAGACTGGAACTGGAGTTCGTTCTCCACACGCCAGCTTGAGGGGCACCAACATGTTCCAGTCCACCAGACGCAATTATACATATCCACTCCCAGCCCTCACATTACCCGGCTCCTGAGCCATTCAGCAGGCAAGCCCCGCAGAGGAGGTGACCAGAAAACACAGGATGCCTCAATTTGAATTTTTTTAACATAAACATGTTAAAAATACTGCACTGTACAAAAAAAAATTCATTGTTTATGTAGAGATCAAAATTAACTGGGCACTTGGTGGTTTTATATGTTTGTTAAAAGTGACAGTGCTACAGTGCTGAGGTTCAGTAGTTCAGAAAAAGATATAATTTGTCCATTTTGGGCAAACTTTGCCTCTTCTTCCAGACTCCATAGCCCTACTACGTGCTGGGGAGTTTAATGCATGACAGCTACCCGAGCAGATCTAATGTCACCTGATGTTGTGGCCTGGACCCCACTATTCACCACTCTTTCCCAGAGCTGCCCAGGGTGTCTGTTAACACAAGGAATGAAGGCAAATGGGACTCAAGATGCCATGTCACTGAGGCAGAGCAGCGGCCTTCTCTGCCAGGCAATGATGCCCAGGTCAGCAGCCACCTGCCATTGGGATGGACGCGTGTGCCTGGGAGGGGGCAGGCAGAGGAAGAGAAAGCACGACCAAGAGCCAGACCTGGAGGTGGTGTCCCAGCCGACTGAAGGAACCTGCTCACAAATCTGTCTGGAAACCCTGACTACGCATGAGTCCGAAAGCTCTGGGACACCTGGGTCAGCGTGGACCCTGGCATCAGGAATGAACAATGGGAAAGTGACACTGTGACAGCTGAGGGTCTTCCCGGAGATCAGAAACAGGGTGAGAGCTGCAATTTCTCGGGAAGTCAGACTTTCCCTACAGGGATCCCAACACAGAACGTGGCTCTCCGATGCCTGGTACTGGGGCGTGTTCTGGTACTGGGCCTGCGTGTTCTGTGACAGCCAGAGAGCAGAGCAGAACCAGCATGCAAAGGCAAGCAGAGGAGAGGAGGCACAGCTCTGAGAGGCGCCTCTCTCCACGCGGCTGGAGCAGACCCCTCTTCCGGGACCTCTGGTGCTCTACCAGGCTGTGTGAATTTCTGTCACTCACACCCATTCCATCACTTCCAAAAGCCAGCAAAAATAAAGCAGCAAGGCCCCAGTTCGGTTCCGTTCATTGCAATTTATTTAATTTAAAAATACAAACAGAAACCACAAAAATCATTTTCCAATGAAAACACAAACACTTTGGGTGGGTGTCCAGCTTTTCCTCCCTGTAGGCTGTTCGCAAACCAATCAAATGAGCACAAATGAATTCCGACTGGAGTCGTAAAGCATGTTGCACCAATTAAATTACACCAATATATTATTATAATACCTTTGAAATGCATTTCAGACCAATAAATAAAAAAGACAAATTCAAATTAAAAAGTCAACTTTTTATTACAAAAAAATAGAAATTAAATAAAAGTCACAACACGGATTTAAAAAAAAAAATGTGCAGTCAAGTTTCTCTTCCTCTCTTCCCCCTAGGAATGATACCAAGCCAGTAAATCCCTACAGAACATTTCCAGTTTGGCAACAAGCAGTCGACCATTCACATTTCTACTCAAGACAGCAGGCCTGGGCAGAACTTGCCTGAGTTTCCCCCCTGCGTGGCGGTCCGCTCGTCACCGTCATGGGCAGGAGCCAGCGCCTGGTTGCAGGGGTGGAAACTCAGAGGGTACTTAAGCATTTTCGTGTTGCCTGGGGTCTTGAAGCACTTCCTGAAAACTGATCGTGCCTTGACATTTACCTGTAAAAAGAAGCGAATTCTACCCCTTCGGCAGATGTGTAAACTAAGGCGCTGAAAGGCGCCCGGAGGCCAGGAAAGGGCCCGGTGAGCCCACACGGAACCTCCTGCTCCGTCCACCACCACCACCGGGCGGTCAAAGTGTCTCTCATGTGTAATTCCATGGAAATGATTCAAGCATAATCTCTTTGGCTGGGGGTTGGCTGGCAGGGATGACGGGTTTAGGAAGGAAGAAGAGGGGCTGCTGGAAAGGGTTCTCCCGGAAAGCACCATCGACACAGCAAGGCCAGCAGGAAGTCACAATGGAGCAGGGCCCGAGACCAGCGACAGAAAACAGCCCCCCAAACACTGCAGGGCCCGGGCCCACGGCCTCTAAGGTGGACCTGGGCTCCCCTCGGAATCTGGCTTCACAGAACCGAGTAACGGAGGAGGACGTCCTGGCGTTCCCAGAGGGAGAAAGGAGGAACTTTCCTCAACAGCGCAGGTCCGGACACTGCAGATCAGAAGGCAACAGGGAAAGCCTTCCGCAGGGAGGGGGGTGTGAGCCCCAAGTCACAGGGGCAGCCAGGGCGGGGCCAGGAGGGCTGAGGATGACCAGGCCAGGAGCAGCAGGCTCCCGAGGCCACGGGCACCCTCTCCAGCCCCAAGGCAATCTGATCTCCGTGGACTTCGTTCCCTTTTACCTCTTGGAGCTCAGGAAGGAGGTGGAATTGCATGGAAGGAAACCATGCAGCTCCCAGACAACACTGCTCAGCTCTAGCTGAAGGAATACAGAAGCGGGAAGACGGAGCTGGTGGCGAGGGGACAGGGACATCTCCTGAGGGAAGGGGCCATCACACCCTGAAATGTCTCCAGAGCGCCCTCCCGCTCACTGAAGCTCGCATCGGGGTGTTGAGAAATTGTACACCTTGTTCAAACACTCTCAGAGCCCTGCTGCGAGTCGTCCTGCCTACCCGCTCCTGTCAAGGCACAGCGGGGGCTCCTAAGGAAATGTCCTTCTGTTCTCTACTGCCCTGCTCACCCCGGCTCTTCTGACACCTGCTTGCTTACACAGATGGAACCTCATTCTCCCCCAGCCTGAACCATGACCTAGAACCCTCAGCTTGCGGCCCAGCACCTTTTCTCCACCCTCCCCTGCCACTGCAGACTCATCCACCTCTGCGTGCCCGAGCTGGGATGGGGAAGCTGCTCGATGTAGTGCACAGGGCCAAGGTCCAGCCCGCTGGCCCCCTGGAGATTGGGCACCGTGCCACACTCCGACTCCAAGCAGGTCCAGGTGCTGACCAAGGGGCAGCTTTCAGCTAATGCTGGAACAGTAACGAGAGTGTGGCCTTGCTGGTGCAGGGCGACATCCTTGCAGGGACCACCGGGGGCCTGTACACTATCACATGCAACAGCCCTGGCCCCCAACGCTGCCCTGTGCCCCCTCCCCACCCTCGGGGGCTGTGCTAAGGAGCAAGGCAGACATCAGGAAAGAGGGAGCAGGAGGCAGCAAGCGGCCAACAGCCGCCTGGGCTGCCTCAGCTTCCCCGGCAGAGTGCAGAGTACACTTTCTCCCACCAAGACTGTGTCTTCTGCTCAGATGCCACCCTAGTGGCACAAAGAGTTAACACAGATCCCACAGGCTGCTCCGCCTGATTCCCAAGGCTGAGCCAGGTCAAGGAAGACCAGGGTGTGGCAGGAGCACTACTGCCGCACTGCTCCATTCCCGTGCAGCCATTACTAATAGGTCACAGCACTCTCTGATGGGCCAGGCCCAGCCAGCACCCCAGGAGCCAGGAGCAATCGATCACCAATGCAATCTGGTGCTGAAATCGTCTTGTGAGCACATGCAGGTGGACCGAGCTTGCTAACTGGGAGAGAAAAGGAGAAAGCGCTCATGGCTCACCCAAAACACAGGGCCGGGTCTCACCTTCCCGCCCGGTCTCACCTTCCCTCCTCGGAAGCTGGTGGATGACCTCCCCTTAGTGGGGAGGGACACGCCTCACCCACTAAGTGACGGCCAACACTGCCTCCCCATTCTCCTGGGTGTCAGGGGTGATACCAATCAGGACCCCAGTTCTGACCAGCACCACTCCCCCATCAGGGCTGGCCCCAACCACACACTCAGCCAAGCCAGACGATCCCATCCTTCCTCCTGCTGGTGGCCAGGGAAGCAGAAACCAGCTATGAGCTCAAGTCTCCTCCCTTTGCCCTGTCTGCCACCCGCCTGCCGTCTCTGCACCCCGCAGGGCTAGTTCAGCTTGCTGCAGATCTCCAGGGCCTTCTTGTACACCTGAGTCACATCGTCCATGTCCGTGAGGAGGGAGAAGCTGCTGTCCACCAGCCGGTTCCGGTACCGCTTCAGGTACTGGGGACGCGGCCGGCTGTGGAGCCCCTCGAAGTCCTGGATCTGGAGGAAGTTCTCGGCTGAAACGCAGCTGCGGATGCGCTGGCGGATGGGCCGGTTCTCCTGCAGATCCAGCAGGTCAAAGGAGTCGCTGGACAGGACGCTGTCATCGCTGATGACACTGGAGGGGCGACTGTAGCTCCGGGACAGCCCCTCGGCGGTGGGGGTGCCGCCGGGCTCCGACAGGGATTCCAGTGTGGGCGTTTCGGGGCTGGCAGCTGCTGAGTACTTGCTGCTGTGCTTCAAGATGCCTTTCCTCCGGCAGGACAGGCTGTGGGAGGCCACCCGGGCCGGGGCCGGGGGGCTCGGAGGAGGGAGGCCACTGCCCGGGCCATCGTCCGCGTCCAGCAGCTCTGAGGACTCGCTGCGCTCCGGGGATGAGTAGTAGCCCGATTCTCTCTGCTGAGTCTTTTTCAGAATGCCCTTCTTGGGCATGGTGGCTGACTGCGTGGGGCTGAGCGTCCCAGGTGCAGCAGCCTCGGGGGAGCCAGCCAGGGGCCCGGCTGTCCGGCACAAATCCTGCTCTAGCTTGAAGGTGGCGGGCAGGGTGGGCCCCGCCACGCCCTCGATGAAGCCGGCACTGTGGGAGCGATGCTCGCTGTTGCTCCGCTTCTTCAGGATGCTCTTGGGCCTCTTGGAACTCAGCTTGGGCACAGCCTCGGCCACTGCATCCTGGCCGGCCTGGGCGAAATCATTCTCCTTCTTGGACTTCTTCAGCGACCGCTGCCGCTCCAGCACAACCTCGGAGGCCCCGGGCCTGGCCAGGCCTCTGGCCTTGGCCTCTGCCTCCGCCTGCAGCCCCGTGGAGCGGTGGTGCCAGTCAATGATCCGCGCCAGGAGCGGGGACTCGGAGTCTCGAAGGGTGTCGCAGTCGCACACGCTGCTCTTGTAGCCCCAGTTCACCCACCAGTGGTTGGCGACGTCCTCGATGGTGGCGCGCCGATCGGGGTTCACCATCAGCATCCACCGAATGAGCCCTCGAGCATCTGGGGGACAAGAGACGGAAAGAATCAGGCACCGCATGGAGACTGCCCCGGCCCACTGGGGACCTTGTGCAAGAAGAGCGCCCCGGAGAGCTACTCGAAAGCAAGGCCACAGCCAAAGGCCAAGGAAGGAGCATCGTGGATCTGCCTGGCCTCCACGGAGGTGCACAGGTCGGGCCACCAGGAAAGCAGCCAGACTCCTGCCCGGCAGGCTGCCCCTGGCAAAAACTCTGCGAATATCATTTTACCAAAAGGAAGAGTGGGTGCCGATCGCTCCAGCACTCTGGCTCCTCCAAGGGTGCCTCATATTGACACGGGCAGAGGGGCTGCAGGGGCCCAGCAGTGCCAGGTGTGGCACACGCCCAACACCCCAGGGCGGGAACAGTGCCCCAGGTCTTGGCCGGGATCTAGAGCCATGCCTGATGAGCTCGCTTCCTCCCCTAAGCAGCCTCCAGGGAGCGGATCTGTGTCTGCCACCAGGGCTCGTGCAGCTTCCCCGAGATTCTCCTGGCAGATTCAGTGCCGGGAAATTAGAGGAGAGGCACAGAGCGGTGCTGCAGAGGCCCAGGGACCGAGTGATGCCCAGCTGAGCCCGAGCTCCCCAGTCAGGGTTGAGCTCTATCCTGGGAAGCTGCGCCTCCCCTCAGCCACTTCAGAGGGCCAAGGAACCGTCCTGGCTGCCTCAGTGTCCTGAACTGGCTCAAACACTTCCTTCTGTGGTCATTTTGACTTCAGGGAAGAGCCAGAAGTCACCCAGTGCCAGGTCCAGTAAAGAAAGCGGAGGAGGACACCATCACATCCTTAGGAACCTGCCTGTCTGCACACTCAGCAGGAGCACTGGTGGTATTTTTGATCACGCCTGGTAAGACGCTCTGGAAAGAGGACTCCAGCACTGCTTCAGAAGATGGTGAGAGCGATGGGCTGAGTGTTCCGGAGGGGGATTCCTGATGACGCGTCCTCTACTTTAATCATGCGTTAGTGTAAACACTCGCCGTGTATCACAACCACCCACATATTCCGTGACATACAAAGCAGAGCACGCGAGCCAGGGCAGGTGGCCGGCCGCCCTCCCTGCCACCCTCGCCGGGCACCCACCTGAGGGCTGCGTGGGCTCCCGGTACTCTCCGCTGCTGATCTGCCGGATGAGGTTTTTGTGATCAAACCCGTCGAAGGGCATCGTTCCATAAACAAGGGTGTAAAGCAACACGCCCAGCGCCCAGCTGTCCACCTGGAGCAGGGAGACAGAGGCAGAGGTGCTGAGAACCGGTTCCTGGGAGGTTTCTGAGCCACTCACAGCACGGGGCCGGCCACCCGCCACGCCCCAGGGCTGCAGCGAGCACCTGGCAGGACTGCAGGGTGCCGAGGGCTGCCGCCGCCCGGCCTGTTTACAAACCACCCGAGCAGGTGGCCTTCCTGCGCCTCCTCCTTCCGCTTCTCAGCACGATGCTGTTTTGTTACCCACCTGCACGCCTACTTTTCAGTATCTTCCATAAGAACAGACACTGTATCTTCAACTCTAAAAACTGATGGTCTTACAAAGATAGCAACATAACCCGCTCAGGGTTTCCTTCAGTGCGATTCTGCTCTCAGACCGTAAACCTCTATGATAGTCCAGCCATCCACTTGTGTCCACATCTATCTGGCTCCGTTTGGGAAAGTTATGTTACTTGTCTACTTTCTTGTGGCTAGCTGTGTTTGCACATGTTAGACACACCGAGGAAGCTGAACTGGCTGCAACTGGATTTCCATCTCAGCCTGTCCGGGTTCTTCATTAGTAGTGTATATTGATGACACACAGTAACTGTAATCTTCTTGGTGACTTGGCACACATATATATGGCAGCCTAGTCATTTTGGTTGGCTGCTGCCCCTTCCTGTCATCTCCCCGCTCTTCCAAGCCCTCTTTCCATCTCCACAGAGCTGACCCCGTTTCCTACTGTTCCCGTTTGTACCATGTGCTCATTTGGCTGGCTAACATGTGAGCTCCCGGGATGAAGGGTGTTGGTACTAAACTGATCCACTGATTAGTCTGGCACAATCCTGGGTGGGATAATGGGAAGGCTCTCCCCAGGTGTGGGTGGCACCATCCAATGGGCTTGTAGCCTGGAAGGCATACAAGGGAAAGGAAGGCCTGCTACATGCTGCCACCTGCCCGCTCTGCCATGGTGCCCTGGCCTGGAGCTAGCCGACGTGGAGCAAAGCCTCGATACACCGTGAGCAAGAGCAAACACCTTATCCCTTGACTTGTGTGTGGCAGATACTCCGTGTCCAATAAGAAAAGACACCTACCATCTCTTTTATTTTGCTCTTTAGGGCATTTATATTTTAGGTTTCTCTTCTCACTCTGAAGCAACACGGTCTGGATGACCTCCAGCCCCATCTGACAGGTGAGAATACTGTGACAGGTGAGGCACACGGCAGGTAAGTGGTTTCTCCAGGGGTCCCCCAGCCCTTCCTGCACCCTGTCCAAATGGATCAGGGGCCACAAACTCAAGTCTTACAAGAACCAAGCAGACAACAAGCTTGAACCACACAAAAAAGAACTGAGATAGAAAGCGGAGTGCTGGGCTCAGAGACAAACTGTCAGGGACCTTCCCTCAGCCTTCCCTCAGCCGTGGGCAGACAGCCTGCGCCACCGCACTGTGCCACACTGCCATGTGGGCCCAACACTGCAAGAGCCTTTGGTTTTTAAAATCAGAAACCAGAGTTTTCTGTGAAATCTACCAATTAAATGTTTATTCAATTTTTTCACTAAGACAAATGTGCTCAAATAATGCATGTTTGCTGGCCAGACCAGACTGCCAGCCTGTAACTTCACACCCTAACTATCCAAGACCAAATAAGTATTTTATCTGTAATACCTAAAGAGTACTCTTTCCTCTGAGCTCTATTTGTGTCCATACAATAGGGGAAATCTGACTTCAGTCCAAATCTAGAAACATCATAAATATATTACAATATATTAAGATATTACGTTGTCACTGAAAATCATGTTTTACTAATAACGACTTTGGGAGATATCACAATGTAATTTTCTGTTAACAAGGCAAAATACACACATGCAGGGTACTGCAGCATAGATATCTTGCCCCTTCTTAACTTTATCTCGAATGTTTTTAGACCAGCCAATCACTTTTGTGCTCCTGACTGTTTCTGAAATGCAGGTGTCTACACTGGGAAAGTCTAACAGTCACAGGACTCTTGGGTGGTTGTCTCCTGGTGGAGTGGAGGGAACCTCATCTCTCCTCTGGGCTCTCCTAGACTTCCCAAATGTCCTCCCGGTGTGTGTATTATTGCTTCTATAGTCACATGAGGATACATCTGCTTTGCTTCCTTTGGGGTTTTTCAAACGACCTGCTCCACCTTCTTCCCCCCAGCTCCCCTCCCTACACGCCCCAGGCAGCCCGCTCACCTCTGGCCCTCGGTAAGGCCTTCCATTGACAATTTCAGGGGATGCATACAGTGGACTCCCACAAAATGTCTGCAAGAACTTGTCCTTCTGGTACAGGTTGGAAAGCCCGAAGTCAGCAATCTGCAAAGAGAACCAAGAGCCCAGCGCCGAACCGTCAGCGTCTGGGATGGTGCCATCCGTACCACACAGGGGGTCGCACCCAGGTACCAGCTTCTTTTCAGACCTGAGTCCTCCCCAGCACACTGCCCAACGCAGCAGGCCCCGTTTCCCTGAGTCCACAGCACACTGACCAGACCTGCAGGCCCCACGCTCAGCTTAAACCCCATTTGCTCATCAGCTGAGGCCTGCCCCCTGATCACTTCCACAGAGCGACCATCAGCAGGAAACCAGTGACAGATGCTGTGAGGCTGGGGGAGGAAGGAACCCCCTTCTACGCCGCTGACGGGAGCACCATCACTGTGGAAAGCAGCATGGAGGGTCCTCGAAAAACCAAAGCTAGAAATCCCGTTCAACCCAGCCTTCACTTCTAGGGTGTTCCCGAAAGATTTAAAGACATCATTTCACAGTGACACATGCATATCCTCGTTCACAGCAGCACAATTCACAATTGCTCAGTTTTGAAGGCGGCCCATCAACAGATGAATGATAAAGGAAAGGGGGGTCTATATGCAACAGAGAGGATAAATTGGAGGCACTTACAGGCAAATGGACGCAATTAGAGACCATAATATTAGGTAAAATAAGTCAGACACACACACAAGCTTCAGCATCACACGGTTTCCCAAAATACAAATAAAGAGCAAAATAAAAGATAACAGGAGACAGGGAGAGAAGTCGTTTGCAAAAGGGAAGAGGACAAGAGAGGGAGAGCGCAAGGGGCAAAAATTTTTAAAACAATTAAGATGTGTTATGTGTGTGGAACAATTTCCCACAATAAATGCAATTATTATATACTGCAAACATATACTAATAGAAATTTTAAAATTTTAAAGGAATCATTTCCACAAAATCACCCGCCTGATGTCTGTGGTGAACACAGCAGTGTACAGAGCCCTCTAGCTGGTCCAGGGTGCCTGGTGGGTGCTTAAGATCTCGGATCATATGAACTCAATCATACCGAGGAGCTTTTTCTTACGCACTTTTGCTTAACATTTAATTTATAAATTAGGCACAGTGTGAGATTAATCATAATCTCTAATTATAAAATAAAACAACTAGAACAACATGCTTGTTAACATTAATAGCCAACACCACAATTCTTCACTCTGAGACCATGGCTAAGTGAAACCAGGGTCATGTGATCACCAGCACGGTCACATGGGAACTGATAAGTGAGATGGTTTCTTATGATTGACGGGCTGGCAGCATATACAGTGTGGATCCACTGCACAGAGACGACCCACCTCCCCCAAGTTTCAAATATGGTGTCACAAGACTTCATCACAGTCTGCAGAAAGGTGAACACTTTAAAACAAGAGCTGTTTCTTTCTGGAATTTTCCATGCAGTTCTTTGGGATTCACTGTGGGTAACTAACACTGCACAAAGTGAAGCCTCAGATAAGGGGTCCCTACCTTACTATGCCTTTAAAGTTGTCCCACTGTAGCTCACCCCAAATTATAGTGCATGCAGAGCAGCCCAGGTGTCACTGTAGATGGTGACCTACAAAATGACACCACACACTCCCCACCAGAGCTGTCCTTTCCCTGCATGTGACCAGGGACAAGATACGCACCAAGTACTGGGTTCTAAGTCATTATATTTCACCCACACTCTGCCACAGAGCGGCTCAGCAACTCTCGACCTCAGTTTACCCATCAGAAAGTGGGAATCCACGATCCCTGCCCAGCTCTGGCTCACGAAATTACTGTGAGGATAGTAAACAATAAATACATCAAGGTAAGGCCGTGAATGTGAACGTGCTCCATGATGGGCAGGATGGGAATCCTCCGCCCACCCTCCTGCCCGCTCCTGTGCCTCTGCCCACCCTTTCTTGTTGGTTACTTGAACAGTTTCATTATCTTCCTTCATCCCAGTGCCTTTACACGTGTGTGTTCATATACACAGCACAGGCACACAAGTGTGCCATCCACACATCCATATACACTGTGCATGGGTGCACACACATACATGCACGTATATATTTGCCTTCCTGCAGACTCTGGGCCCCTGGGCAGCATCCACAACCCCGCTTTCCATCTGCCTGGCACCTGTCCCCAGACACCCCTATCCCCAGGGCAGGCATTCCATTCTAAAAAGCAAGAGATGACTGACAATACTGTGACAACCTCGTTAGCGCTCACTGAGCAAGTCCCGAGCACCTGCCCCTCTAGCCTAATCCTATCAAAGCAGCATACCCGCACCAGTGGGAGTGGCCTTGCCTGCTCCTAACTGCACACGAAATCCCCTGCGAATGGTCAGCTTCATTATGTTACGGGTACCCGACACCAGTTTTTTTTAGAAGCCCACTCAATAGAGGAAGAATCTGAGGCTTTAGGTGATGAGATTTGCGGAAGGAGAGAGAACTCGGGCCATGATGTCACCACCTGGGTCTCTCCAGGCCAGACCTGCCACACTGCACTACCCAGGAAAATCGCACAGCTCGCTCCGGCCTGAGGCTCATGCACTGAGCCCCAGAAAGGGATCCCAACACATCCTCAGACTGGCTGGCTCTGGCTGCTGCTGCTGCTGCTGCAGACCTCAGACACAGTGTGTCTGCAACAGGGACACAAAGGGGCGGGCACGGCGGGGCAGGCACGCATACCCTGGCACCCGAGCACCCTCATCCCACCCGGCACCAGACTTGCTGTGCACACTGCCAGCCTGAGATGCACGTTGGTATACGGCCACTTCAGGCCTCAGACTGATGCTTATCAGCCCTCTCTCAGTGAAGCTATCACTGCTGCTGACCCAAGATGAATAGAAATCTAGATTAGCCCGAGTTCTCGGTCCTGGAATGGATACTCAGTATTAATCAACGTGCAGAGTTCTCAAAGCCCTGGCCACTTGGAGTTGGGTCAGCTCAAAGATTCGACGCCACTCAGAGATTCTGTCACCTACAGAGGACAGAAGGCCACTGGCCATGAAATCACTGGGAGTCTCCGTCTCTCTACTGATTTGGGGTCAGAGCAGTGCCCACCCAGCCGTGTCGTGGAGAGGAGGAATCAACACAAAACACGCCCGGCACTCACAGTGGTCACGGGCACAGGACTGGAACCACATCGGTACTTGCTGCATCGAGCGGGTGATGCACCTCATGATCCTCGAACAACAGGCTTCATCCCCACACTGAGGACGGAGCAGCCAGGACCAGCAGGAGTTTGGGGACTAACGGTCACAGAATTAAGTGAAAAAATACATTCCCTTTGGATCCTCCTGCAGCTCTTGGAACTGAGGCAGGGGCAGATGTTGCTTGGCCCCCAAGGGCCCTGGCATCTGCCTGTCACTGGGAGAGCATAGCCTCGTGGCCCCCAGCTGACACCGGCAGCCAACATCACCCAGCACAGAACAATGCCACTTGGAGTCCACCATCTATTTTGAGCGCATCTGCTACTCATGGCAAGGAACTCTGGTTTTCCACCTGAGGTCACATTCAGGTCTGCTTTGTCAAATCCCATATCACTTTAGCAAGCAGCTTGAACTAGAAAATATGAAGTCGAACAGCACAGGAGATAAGAAAAAAACAAATTCAATCATAAAAAGTGAAGGATAAACTGAAATTTGGCACATACTGCATTTAAGCATCATAACAAAATGAAAATAATCTTTATCTCAGAATTGGTTTCCAGATGAAGAAGCCTTCAGAGATCCATCCTGTCTTTGCCACGAACATGAAGAGGCTGAGAAACCAGGGGTGTACAAAGCTTTGCTGAGGCCACAAGCCAGAGAGACCAGCAGGCTCACGGAACAGCTGAGCCCGAGGGGCGGGGTCTGGGGCCTGGCTTTCAAAGCCACATTCTGCAGATGCCAGGGGGCTCAGGGACAGGTCCCTCGCTGGGGTCTCTGCTGGCACCCTGTGGTTTCCCAGGCCCGAGCGGTTTCAGAACCAAACTCCACCGGCCCTGCACTGCAGCTCCGCTCAGCCTGACCCCAGCCCCGTCCTTCCTGGGAGCTGTGTTCCTATCAATCGACTTTTAGAAGAACGCCCTGCTAAATGGAAGTCACAAGTCAAGTAGACAAATGAGGAAGTGATCGGTCACATTTCAAAAGGATTAACCTCATTACAACCCAAAGCACCTCGGATGCAGTGCGTTAGGTGAAGTAAACCAGACAGGAACAGACGCACGCTGTCTGACTCCATCTGCTCGGGCTCTCCAGAGGGGCGAATTTAGGAGACAGAGTGGAATGGAGGCTGCCAGGGACTCCGGGAGGGCAGAGCCCACGCTGAACAATCCAGAATCCCCTTTGCGAGGGGTCACAGGACCATCCGAGTGTGTGCACCTCGGCAGGGTGAGTTTTAGGTTAGGTTATGTGTATTCTACCACCATAAAAAAAAAGAGAAAGAATCTCAGATTACTGTGAAAAACGAGCTCACCTGGTCAAAAAAAAAGAAAGGAAATAGTGGCTTCCTAACTGCTAAAAAGGAAGCTGATGACAATGACAGTCATCAGCTGGCTGGGAGCAAGTGTGGCACCTGTGACAGATGGAAGGTTTGGAAGCCAGGAGTCGTGGCCTGGTCGTGACCGGGCCATCAGCAGGACCTGCTGGGGACTCAGTTTCCCCATCCTCAGAAGGGACGCATGACAAAGCTCAGTCACAGGTGTGCAGAGGACCACAGAACTGACCCAGAGGGCTGACTGCATGAAAGACAGCCATCACGATGACACCACTGGCTGGTGAGCTCACCTCTCTGTCACACGAAGTGAATTTGAAGCCATCACACTAACCACCAGGAGACATTCCCACCAGGCACACCTGTCACTTCCTGCACAGCTGCTCCACAGGGACGAGCAGCTGGAAAGACTTCCTGGAAGCAAAGTGCACCCATGAACAGCGGGAAGGTCAGGAAGCCAGAGAAAAGCCTGGTGGACGTGAGGTGTTCGAGTCCCACTGAGGGACCCGTCATGCTCCAGCCTCACCTCACCAACAGCTACACCACAGCCACATTTACCCACTGCTTGCCCCCAGCCGGATCCCTGAGCCCATGTGGAGAAGGACCTGACCTTCCTCCTCACACTCTGCGTCCTCCCCACGGCTGGGTTTACAGGGGCTACATTCTGGGTTCCGAGAGCTCAAGGACCCTCCACCTCATTCACAATGAAACCCCAGTGCCCAGCATAGGGCCAAACACCAGGAGCAAGGCAGAACACACTCGTGCATAAACCCACACTGCCCGGAGCAGACGTTCAACTGCTGAACAAATACACACAGGGCCCGGTGAACAGGCAGGCGTGTGAGGATCTATGCACGGATACACGGACACATACACACGCATGCACACTCACACGCACACACAGTACATACACAAACAAACGAATTCACTCGTGCAGGAACACCAAGTCTTCACATTCACAGAACCAAACCCCAGAGCTCCCAGCCCACGCCTGGGCCCCGTTAGCCCCAGTGGTTTCCGTCTCCTCTGGACCTCGGCAGGTCCAAGCCCTTCCCTGATCCACCGGCTGGCTCCCAGCATCGAGGGCGGGGGCAGCAGCCCCCCTCCCCTTGGTCCCTCCGCCCCCGCCCTGCAGACTTCCAGCCCCCTCCCAGGAGGTCGGCTGACCCGGCTCAGCCCTCCGCGCGCCAGGCGGTGACTGAGCCTGCGATGGGAATTGTCAGCATTCCGCTCTCCCAGAGTGGGATGTGAGTCCGGCTCATTTTTACTAATTGCAAATTAATGCTCTGCTGGGTGTATTTCCGTACAGGCTCTTGCACCAGCAGGAATGCAACCGAAGCAGCGCATTGCTGTCATTCTTTCTGCGGACCAGAAGAGCGAATATTTTTAGAAACCACGCCCTCGAGCAGTGGCCAGATCAGTGGTTTCCAGATGCCAAATGTGCCCTGTGCAAATCCACACGGGGTGGGGAAGGGAGGGACAGGAGCAGACGACACGGCTCGCTCCGTGACAGGAGTGACACAGGACAGACTCACACGGGTGTATCTGAGCACCCAGAGGTGCTGGTGGCTCCCAGAGGACCTGCCGCTCACAGCCACTTAGCTGGCAGCCCGTCCACGCCCGGGGTCCCCAAGCCCAGCAGGGACGGCTTGGGCCTTCGCGAATGCAAAGTCCAGCTGGTGGCCACGTAGCTGCTGCCTCTGTCAGCAAGGGCCCGGTCTAACTACGCCCCGGCCAGAAGCCGAGTCAGGATAGCAGAGTGGACACAGCCGGAAAACAAGTCAACACCAGCTGAAACATTTTAAAGAGCCTCGGTAGTGGGTGTGAGGCGATGAGAGGAGAATCCGCCTGGAATTCAGACATGTGAGCTGGGTCCCGGCGGGGCCTCCGCCTCTCCCCAGCAAACAGCTCTCCGGTATCCACTGCACCAAGGCCTGCGTGGAGAACGCACCAGGAAACCTCCACGGTTCTGCTCATTTCCTTTGGGACTCTGGGCGTGTCGCTGAGACTTTCTGGGTCCAAACATTGAAATAATGGGTTGTGAAATGATCATCAAAGTTCTCTCAACCTCCAAGAATCTCAAGTCTTAGGAGGTTTCCTTGAACAAGCACAGGAATAATAAATGACTTAAAAAATAGGAAGACTTGATTTTGTTTGGGACACACCTGTGTGTGTGTGATGCCAGCAGGAATTTCTAAGGAAAAGACATAGCTATGCCCGACTCTTAACTATAATCTGCTCTGTGTGTGCCATCTGCCTTCATGGTGCACGGGGTCCCAGGCTGGGGGGCCGTCCCTGGTCCCTGGTCCCTGGTCCCTGGGAGGGGGTAGTTTTATGCAAATAGAGCCGTGCTCTAGGCCTTGCCCCATTGTGCCACACACAATTGCTTTCAGAATTCTATCCATTCTTCTCTTCCCCGGGGCTGGGGAACTGTATGACTCGGCAGGAAGCTATGTGCCTTTATCACTTCGGAGACTACATCATGGGACCAGGAGGTCACCCTGTACCACAGAACCTAATCCCCAGGCTGAGCTCACATTCCAGGCCTTGTAAAGACTGCATTAGCTCCGAGCACTCTGGGGGCAGGTGGCAGGAAGAATCTGGAGAGAAAGTCACCAAGGTCAATGCACGACACAACCCTTAGAAGGCCAGGCCCCAACTGCTGACCGCCCTCCCTGGAAGCCAGGGCAGCTGGCTTCCCAATGGTGCCCTCTCCAAGGGCAGGCTCCTGTGCACGGTTAAGACGTGCTGCTCCTACACTGTCTCACATCAGGTGAGTCTGCTCAGTGCCCCGGGCCTGGGCCCAGGCACGAAGTACTGCTCGGGAAATACTCCCTGAAAAAAAAGGAAAAATAAAAAAGAAACTCCAGAGACAGAAGCTGGTGCCACTAAAAGCCAGACAAGATAACAGAAGCCAAGACCCACGAATAACTTACCCAAACCTGTAATCAGCAAGAGGCAGTGTGGCCCTGAGGACCCAGGCTGAACAGCTCCAACACCACAGGCCTCAGCCCTGACCCATCAGCATACAGCAATTTAGAACACAGAACATACAGGACGTCTTACTTAGACCCCAAAGCAAGCCTGGGGGCAGGTGCCGCTGAGGAAACAGTGGCTGGCTTTCCCAGTGCCGAACAGCCGCGAGCCGCAGAGCCCAGAACCTTCTTCCTCCTCCTGGAACAATCCACCCTCTCAGCCAGAAAACAAGAGACCTGAGGCTTCACCTCCTGTTCCCGCGCAGAACCGCTCCGACCAACTATATCTCCTCCTCACTCCCCAACTAGGCAGACCCAGGTGACCATGGTCAACCCCTCCACAGGGACAAGAGGTCACCGAGGCATTGCTTCTAGGGGGCTTGCAGAGGGTGTGGGGGTGGGGGTGCTGGTGTGGCTGCCACCGTGACCCACAGACAGAATCCAGACAGCAGGGCAACTCCACCCTTCAGGCCAGACAGGGGTCTGGTCAGCACTGTTCACTGACAGCAGCAGCAACAGAGGAGAGGAAGGCGCACGCTGGTTCCCAGGCTTCGGGGGCCGGGGACAGGCTGCTCACGTCACAAGAGGCCGATCCAGGGCTTCCTGCCAGGGCTGGGAGAACCAAGCCTATCTCATCATGAAGCCCACGCAGCCAGCCGAGTTTGTCTGCAAACCGTATTTGCTTATTTTGCAGACAGGATCAAAAGGACCTGGGAGTCTCCCCAGGAGGCCAGGAGAGCCTTCTCCAACTCCTGCAGCCAGCAAAAACGTGGCCTAAAAAAGAACCCCCATCCTGCCGCTTCTGCAGCACAAAACAGCCCACCTCTGGCGGGCACCCCAGGCCGGGGCTGTGTTTGGGGTTGGGAGAGGGAGAGAATGGAGGAGATTCAGGGAAGAAGGCAAGAGCCCTAACTGTACGCCCACATGGAAGCCAGGCATGCTGGCATACCCCTGCCGTCCAGTGCTGTAAGAGGCAGAGGCAAGAGCCCAGTCTGGGTAACTTAGTGATTTAACACAGCCCTCTTTCAAAATTTAAACAAAATTTAAAAGTTCTGAGAATGTAGCTCAGAGCAAAACTCCCTGGGTTCAAGCTCCACTACTACAAAAACAAACAAGGAAGAAACAGGTAGAACCTGGGGCCCTGCTAACAAATCCAGTATGATGATATAACCTACTACATGTCACCCAGGGGAGGAATTTGACACTCCTGCCCTGTTTCCCAGCTGTTACAGAGGTGCCATTCTCAGGGAAGTCAAAACAGGATGTGAAATGCACGATGGTGTAGAGATTCTTCTGGTGGTGATTTTGGCCTGTGAGCTGGGGGAGCGGCTGCAGGACCTGCATCTGCATCAGGCCTGCATCTCAGCAGGAAAAACAGGACCCATGCGCAGCAAGAGCCCGGTTAATGCTTGCTGGGTTTCATCTTAACCAAACCAAGAACTCCAGCAGGAGCCCTCTGGAAGCTGCCGGGCAGCAGGGGAAGTGGCTGCGCCTCCCAGCTGTACCTGACACAGGCTCGGCCACCACCATGGTCCCAATCAGTGCCACGACACACAAGCCCTGCCCAGCCATCGAGAGGCCAGAGCTCACCTTAATGTTGCAGCTGTCATCGAGCAGGATGTTCTCCAGCTTCAAGTCCCGGTGGACCACGCCGTTCTGGAAGGAGAAGACACAGAGGGGTCTGAGTGGATATGGTGGGGGGGATTGGGAGGAAGAGGCAGGTGGGGAGGGGTGGGGAGGGGGAGGGGCAGGCTTCACAGTGGAATGTTAGCCTCAGGAGAGAAAGGCACCACCTGAGGTCTCCACCTCCATCCTTTGCTGCCCTTGCTGCCATGAGCTCCCCAGCCGGCAGCCAGCGACAAGAGAACATCAGTCACTTGCTGCTGTGTGGCTACAGGAACATAGCTGGAGTTCCTTGACCCCCAGAGCCCATGGGACACCCCCCCCCGGCCAGCGTCCTCAGTGGAATGGGATTCTGTTGTCTGAACCACGTCACCCCAGGCTGGCAGACTAGATCTGCCTGCAAGGGATCCCAGAGAAGGGACAGACTCCTCTGCGGGGCACGCACACCTGGCCTATCCAACTGTCTGTCTGTCCACCTGTCCGAATCGTCTGTGCCCAGTCCACTCTGAGTCTGAAAGTTATCCCATCGCCAGCTCAGCAAGACCCAAGGCAGCAGGAAGCTGAAAGTTATCCCATCGCCAGCTCAGCAAGACCCAAGGCAGCAGGAAGGGGACGCAGTGCCACGGGCTGACAAAGTGGGAGGCCGCCACGCAGCATGGCCTCTCCATCTGGCAGACGCAGGCCAGGCTGGTGGCCAAGCCCTAGGACGAGCAGCCACATGGGTTGCAAAGGTGCCGTCCTTCCCTGGGCAGGACACAGGGCACCACACACAGCCTGCGCCTTCCTCTCCAGGACCCAGTCATCTCTCTAGGTGGAAGAGCAGTGAGCCCAGCAGAGCGGAGCACTGCGCACTGCGTGGGGGGCATGAAGCACACCCACCCTCCACCGCTCTCCCGAGCGCACCGGCACCTTCACAGCCCGACCTGGCTGTTTACTTTCCTTTCCGACTGACAGCTCCTAATCTCGCCAAAAGCGCTGCCTGCACAGAGATGACAGCTCGAATCTCTGCTGCCGCCTCCTAATCGGAGCCCTCGGGTGGTGTTTTATTCTCAGAAACAAACACAAGCCCAGGGTGCCTGGTCTGGTCTGAGTTAAACACCCGTTTGGTGACACGGTTCCCCTCCCAGCTCTCTCGGTGAGACGGAAGAAAGCTGGATTCACATGGAATCCAACATTCACACATTTCCAGGCTCGGGAACGGGCTCTGTGGGCTTTCCAGTGACACAAGGACAAACACGGTCCCCAAGGGAGAAGCAGAGGTCAGACACTGCCAGCAGTGGCCCTGGGGACTCAGTCACGGTGACATTCCTCTCCCTGCGCTGTAAATTCTCCCGATGGCCAACAGACAGCCCTCTGATAACACAGAGCGACACGAAGCACCCCAAGGGCCTTTGCCCGCCTGCTGTCCACCGTACCTTGTGGCAGTAGTGCACGGCGGAGACGATCTGCCGGAAGAAGTGCCTGGTCTCCCTCTCACTGAGGCGCCTCCGCTCGCTGATGTAATCGTACAGCTCGCCCTTGCTGGCGTACTCCATGATGATCACGATCTTATCCGTGTTCTCAAACACTGAGGGGGGAAGAAACAAGAAACCCGTTTATCCAGCAAGCTCAGGGGTGAGGCAGAAAGATGGAGAAAACCCGCCAGGGCGTGGAGGCCAGCAGGTGGAGAGGCCGGCAGCCCCGCAGCTCCACGGTGGGAGGACGTGGGAGTGCACCCTGCCAGGGGGATGCAGGCTGCCTCGCCGTGGTTCTCAGCATGACTATCAACCACGTGATGCAGACCAGTCACCTGGATCTGCCACCCTGCTGACCCCCAACGGCAGCCAAGTCTTGCTCAGAGCCATCCTGACACGTCGTGTCATTCAGCATGGCCCGCCAAGTGCCACGCGGCCCCACGATCCCTTCCCAGACCTAATCACACCCAGTGTGTGCTGTGTCGCCTATCTCCCCACGCAGGGAAATGAAGGTTGGCCCATCTCACAGACTGATACACAGACCAGCCCAGGACGGCGTCAGGCACACGGAAGGGCCCCAGTTATTGTCAGATGAGTGAATTCGAGGTTCCTAAGTGCATTTTGGACACAATTAAGTAACCACGCAGCGCTTACCATGTACCAGGCTCATGGAAGCTCCCAGCACCCTGATGTGGACAATTCATGTAGACCTCACAGCAAGCCGGGAGAAAGGTGTACCCACTTACCATGTGAAAAATGAGGAAATGAGCCTAGGAGGCCGTGGGGTGTGCAGGAGCTTACGAACGCAGGTAGCTGGCTCCAAAAGTCCAGCAAGAGGCGCAGGCGAAGGGTCCTCTGTGAGCACTGGCTGGAACCAGCTCACCTCTCGCCAGGCAGACGGGGAAGGGCAGCAGCTCAGGCCAGTGTTCTGCCAGGACCACTGCGCCCTGGAGCTGGGGTCCTGCCTCCAGCCTGAGCCCCTGCTCAGCCAGCCCCCGTGCCACCAGGGACAGCGCTGTCTGCAATCTCTCCAATGCTGCTCTCTCCTTGACCCCAAAGCTCTCTAGCAACAACCCTCAAACTCAGGGTTTCAGGCAGACATGCTGTGGCCAAGGCAGGACACACTAGAGAAGGCCGGGAAGGAAGGACGGGCTCTGGGCTCAGAACGACCTCGTCGCCGTTAGGGTCCTGCGTCAACTTGAGTGGCTGAGGGCTCTGCCCCAGGGACTAGCGGAGCACAGTGCTAAGCCAGCTGGGTGGACCATGGAGGCACAGCCTGGGGGCCTCTGTCTGGGCCCTTGCCCTTCTTCCCTGGGACTGTGCCCTGCTTCGCTTCCCAGCCACCGAGACCTGACAGCTTCTCTCCCCTCAGCCCTGCCACGGTGACTTTTCCACCTCGGAACCAGTGGCCATGGACTGAACCTTCCCTCAGTGAACCTTCCCTTCCTCTGAACTGTGGGCACCAGGTGCTGTGCCCAGTGACACCTCAACCAAGCCACTCCACTGACACCTGTTTCACACTTGGAGCAAAGACAAAATAGGTGATAACAGTTTCAAGGTCTATCCCTCCCAAGGGAGATGCTATGAAAACTCTGTGGGGTGCCAAAGACCACCCTGAAGGGGCTGGACCTCCCTCCTCCACCCCTGAGCTCCTCCAAAATCCACCGGGGCAGCTGCACAAACCTGCCTCTCACTCTACCTGGCCACATTCGCCTGCTGACACATTCAAACAGTGCCCATTTGGGGTTGCTATTCATCCATTTCTTCTGCCAGGACTGCATGCCCAGCCCAAGAGAGACAGAGTCTGCCTGGGGAACAGATGCTTCCAGGCAGGGCTCCCAGCTCTGCCTCTTCCTGGCCCAGGAACTCTGGGGGAACTTGGGGCTCTGACCCTCACTTTAGTGAGGTGTGAACTTCTTACACATCTCATGCTTCCTCAAACATGCTAAATACTCAGGGTGAAGGCCGTGCAAGCCGGGTGCGCTCAACACTGTCCACTACTGCTGCTGGCAACCGTGCTACCAGACCCCAGAGACAGGCACAGGATCGGACACGCAGGTGATGCACCACTGAGCTCCAAGGACGTACTCCCAGCCTGGGTCCCCTCCCCACAGCTTATTTCCGGCTACTGGGAGCCCAGGCCCCTCCAGCTCCTCCACGGCTCCTTCAAATCCAGCCTACCCTCCTGATAAGATGCAGGAAAAGGGACGAATAGAAGAGGGTGACCAGATCTACTTGGCCACGGTGGCATTTTCCAGCCTCGCCGGAACTAGCCGCTGCCAGGATTCCAGACTGGTGCTCACCATCCCCCAACAGTAAAACCTGGACTCTGCAAGTGCGGCTTTAGGCGACGCGGCTCAGGCTCCAAGGACAACAGATGGATGCCCGGAGACGGCAGCTGGGCTTCTCAATTTAAACAGCGGGAAGCTGAAAGCGGAAGGCTCTTTGACAGGCAAATAAAAAAGGGCCCACAGAGCCCAGCGCAGCTGAGAGGAGGCAAAGCCGCTGGCCTCTGGGGGACTGTGGCGAGAAGCCATGGGTCACCGCCACCCATCCACCCAGGGCTATCTGGTGACCGGGTCCGCCCTGTGCAGCTGGTCAGCTTGGCAGCACAGACACAGGCGCTCAGGCCAGCACAGCTCAGAGCGGCAAGGATTTTACTGAGGAAGCCCCGCCTGTCCCCCGTTTAGGGTACACACAGGACACAGAACACGGTAAGAGGGAACGGTGCTCGGCCGTAAAGCAGAATGGAATCGCGCCATCTGCAGAAAGACAGGGAACCGGAGATCATCACGCTACCAAGTCAGACGCAGAAAGCTAAGCACCGCACAGTGTCTCTGCCACTCGAAGCCTAAAACAGAGATTAGTAAAATAAAGCGGAGGTGGTAGGAAAGAGGAAAGCAGACGCGCTGTTGGGCGAGGGGACGATGGAGCAAGCGGAGAGGAGGGGAGCCATCACCTCGTGGCGTGCTCGCACCGATTCCCCTAAGCGAACATCACTGCACGCAGAGCACTCGTAAAGGAGAAACGTTAAGATCCCCGACTCCGTCCACCGGCTCTCCTGCCCTCCCAGCACCCTGCCCCTCCTCATCCCCTAAGACTGCATTGGGAGAGGCCAATGAACAGCCCCTCAGACCCGTCTGCTGGGCTCCAAAGACATCCCAGGGGCACAGTGGCCCAGGCAGATGTCCAGAAAACACTGGGGAGCCCGCACAGACCCTGGTCCTTGGAGCTCTGCAGGTCACCTGAGCCCCTTGAAGGCCTAACAACAGACAGAAGGACCCGTCAGGACCCAGCACGAGCACCAGGTGGACCACACGGAGGTCCCCGGGTGAGCTCGGCTGCTCTCTGTCACCACTGGAGAGCTGTCCTTCAACGTGCTTTGACACCATCCTTCACTGGCCAGGGGCCAGGCCCTGGTGGCAGCCACCGCGGAGGAGCTGAATGCAGGCCAGACTTCCAGACTGCGGACAGGCCCTGTGTGCCACGGGTGAAGCTGGGGACCTTGTCCGAGCACCACATGTGTGCAGACCTACTGACACGCACCCTGCACGCAGGCATACACAGGCAGGCTCCCCTGAGTCATCTTCCGGCTGGTGGGAACGGGCAGAGCAGGGACACACTGAGTGCGCTGCTCCTGTGCGTGCCCCGACCTCACTGTTCTGCCCAGCAGGTGAGGCTAGGGTTTCCAAGCAGCACTGCAGGGGCTCTCTGAGCTGCACCATCCACGGGCACTCTTCCTTGACCGCCTCAGCTGCCACTTGGGCCACCCAGCAAAACAAAACCCTCTGACTCTCCTCTGCCGCCAGCATGACTCTTCCCAAAGGACCCAGCAATCCCCATTCTTTTTCCAGAATAGCCTAGGATTGAAAGCCGTAAGAGGGCCTGGGGAGGGCGCGCTGAACAATGCCAGCTTCCCCACCCCAGGCCCAAGGCTCCTTGCCGCTGGCTCCGGGCACCACTGGTAGGATGGCAGGACATTCCTGGCCATTCTTCTGGCAAAATGGGCTGCTCCCCTTGGGCACTCTGACAACGGGTTATTTATAAGCCCAGAAATCTTGTCTGTGTTTGTGTTATTAGTCACTAAGCAAAAGCTTATTTTGCAGTACTTGGGAAGGGTTTCCTTTCTGAAAAATGCAGGCCTGTGTCTCTTGGCTAGACACTTCTACCCAGAAGCCCAGCAGCTCCAGAAGGGGAAGAATGGTGGCCCTTGCCGTGCCAGGCCCACTAGGAAACTTCACACCCTGAACAGCAACTTGGCTGGGCCGGAGGCAGCCCGGGTCACTGGGCCAGGCCCGTGTGGCCGCAGCCTGCTTCTGAGTAAAGCAGCAAAGTCTGTACAGCACCGACTGGGCGCTGGCACCTGAACCCCCCACTCTGTGTCCTCTTTCTGCCCCTAACCTCCCCCAGGGTATAAACAAGCCACTGTGGTGACTGCTGTATGCGAGCTACAAGCGTAGAGCTGTGCGACTGTGGACCTGCTTAAAAATGTTAGTTAGAAAGGGGAGGGAGCTGCCACTCTGTGTCCCTTTGTGCTGGTTCACAGCTCAGCAGGACCTGAGTGAGCAGGGCTGCGCGGGGCCATGCGGTGCCGCCTGGTGGTTCCGTGACACAGCCTTCCCTGTGGGGCTTCCCTGGTCACTCCAGGGCTGAGAGGACACCCGGACTGTCTCGGTCAGCACCGAGTGACCTGGGGGGCCCAGGATGGCTGGGGAAGCCTGGGCCGGCCCAGAACGGGGCTTGAAGAAAGCAGGCCCCCGTGGAGCGGAACCCACGACGTGCCGCGGGTCTTGCTGCACTAACAGCAAGCTTTCCGCTCTGTGACAAACCCCAAGCCGCCCTCCGGCCCGCCTTTTCTTCCACAGAGGTCTGCCTGCTTCCCGGACACCACTGCACTGCTTCTGCTTTCTGTTTATTTTCCATTTCTAGGGAGAGGCGGGACTGGTTGCCATGGCAGCAGCTGCTGCTCCACATTAACCCTGAATTTCATCAGCTGCTCCCTCTGACAGCCTGATTCTGCCATCCGATTGTCCGGCTTTCACAACCGCACTAATTACCCAACTCCTGACGCGTCCCTCCTGCTGCTCTGGAGGTTAACAGCACAACTTGTATAACTTGAGAAAACGTGTATCACAAAACCAGTGCTCTGGCCAGAGAGAAATGCTGGTGGGTGACATCTTGGGCTTCTTTTTAACCATCCGCTGAGCATTTCTGAGCCAAACCCGCTAGGCCATTGAGCAGGAAAGCGGCTCAGGGGAGAGTGGAGATCAATCCATAGGACACTTCAGGAAGAGAAGGTTTGGGAAAACAGAGGCTTTCTTTCTGTGGAAATGGAAGGTAAGTTTCTGGTTTACACAGAATCTCGAGGGAAGAAGATTAGTTTGTTGCTTTTAAACAAAACGCCAAGGGTTAAAGAGGACTGACCAGGATTCTCTTCACCCCTTTGCCTGTCCCAACTTCATCTCCTAAATTAGTTCCAGGATGTCACCATTCCTAGACGGCATCTGCAACTGTCCTAAATCTCAGACAAAAGTGCCTCTCCACTCCCAAGGGGCTCCCTTATTCAAGGCCAGTGAGAGCCTTGAAGAACGCAGCATGGTTTTCACCTCAGAAACAATGAGAGCTCTTGAAAGAACTGTCCAAAGCCTCGTTACCTCGTTAAGTCAGTCAATTCAAGATTTGTTCTTCAAAAATTTCCTCCCGAAACTAATTTTCAAACATCTGGTGAGCTCCCAGCTTCACTGCATGGCCCCAAGGCCTCCAGAGTCTGGCAGCCCAGGGCAACCAGGGTGAGAAAATCCAACCAGATGGGCAGCTCCCCAGGGCCTAGGGGTGGTCAGGGTTGAGTCACCGGGTTTCCTTGGTTTGGACAATGGAGGGCTTTTAAATTCACTCATTGTCTTTTCTTAGACCCAAACCTCCTCTGGATGCTGGGTGGCATGCCCAGAAGAACCACGGCCAAGCAGCCCACCCACTGCCCACCACCTTGGGCTTCAGAGAGGCAGGAGAATGGAGAGAAACTGCAGGCACCACCTGCAGAGCTTGGTCTTGAGCACTACTTAGGACCCAAAAACAGACCCGGGAAGGCGGGGGCCAGGGCTGAGATAGAGAAGCAGCGTTGGGAAAAAGCGGGACTTGGGGGCGACACATTGGTCTGGCTTTCGGGGCGTCCTCCTTCCAATAGCAGGCCCTGGGGCTGTGTTCATGGAAACAGGGGCTCCACCAACCGTCAGCACACACTCAGCCCCGACCATCCCCTCCGTGACTCCAAGTGGGCCTTTCTGTCTCACAAACACAGCCTCAACTGTCCTGCCTGTGATGGACACAGCACCCGACTACCCTCGGCTACACAAGGCCTCTTGGACTTGACACAGGACATGCCTAAAAAAAGCACGCCCCCACCCCCGCCCCCTAGTTCTGGCAATGGTGGGGCGCCAAGCCCCTCTGGGCACACAGCCTCAGTTTCCCCTCACAGAAATCACAGCTGTGGTCTTTGCCGCGGGCTCTTTGGACCTTTGACCACTAAGCCCAGGTGGCAAGGCCAGGCCTGTATTTCTCACCTTCCAGCGGGAGCCACTGCTGGACACACCACCCAGCAGAGCTCTGCTACCCTGAGCAGCACCCAGGCGGCCTCTCAAGCACCAGTGCACAGGAGCGAAGGGCTGGGCTCCCGCACCCGGGCTCTGTGGGTTCAAACCCAGCTCTGCCCTGAGCAGCAGGAAGACGCCAGCAAGTGCATGCTCCAGGCCGCTAAGCTAATGGAGCGGGACGTGCCCATTCATTTCAAAAGACCCCACACAAACGCAGCAGGTTCTTTCTTTCCCACTTAAAAATCGGCTTCAAGTACAAGTGGTATTATTTAAGGCACTGAAAAATACTGAATTCCAGGAAACTCAGAAGGGCGGGGCAGGACAGCCAGGGAGTCGCATTCATTCTCAGTGTTGTATTTCTAATCTCCGGCCTCTGGGAAAATGACTCGGGTGTAATCAAATGAAAACAATGAAAATAATACACTGGCAGGTCAAATCGCTCACTTAATAGAAAACTCATTAAAAGGGAGCTGGAAAGGCTCACAGCTGAGGACTTACCCCTGCAACACCTAGTGAGGCAAGGGCGGTTGGGGGACCGAATCCCTTGTTCGAGTCCAGTCCACAGGGCCTTGGTGTAGAGCGCAAATCCAGCAGCCAAGGGGGTGCAGTAAAATCAGTGCCTTGGCTTGGGTTCAAAGAGAAAGCGCAAGCTTCCGCAGTGCTTCACCAAGTCTAACGAGCTGCTTCACGGGCTCTGGGGCCCAGACGAGGGCAGGCACCACATAAACTCTGGCTCGTGGCCGTGGATGATGTGCTTCTTCCCAGAATCTGCAGATGACAACTGACCAGAGCCGGTTCCCTGAACAGGGCTCTACCCCTCCAGGCTGCAGGTTGAAGCCCCGGTTCTCAGCCTGGCGAGTTACTCTGCAATCCTCAGGAAAGGTCCCCAGCCTCAGCGTCTTGTGCGAACTCCACTGAGATCCCCGTGGCCGGCAGTCCTCACTCAGAATCAAGGTCTGAGAATCCTCGATCCACAGACTGCACCTGTGGCCAGCACTGCTAGGTAACGTCAGATGCAAGGGATGCAACCCTGCTTCACTCTGACCTTCAACAGTGGTGGAAAGGCTCTCTCCATCTCCCTCTCACATGAGGCCTGGCCCAACCCAGAGCCAGATTCCGAAGGTCAGGTGGGTCCTAGACTGCCTTTGAGAGCCAGGGCTCAGGGATGCGACCAGGGCTCAGCCATTCACAGGGGTCGGCAGCACTTTCTGAACCCCGGGCCTCTGCTGGGGCTAGGGCGCACGTGGGCCACCATGGGCTGCAGGCTTCACAGCCCCTGCCCCTGGACTTCTCTGCTCCACAAGATTTTGAGAGCAAAGTTTCAACACAAGTCAAGAGCAAGATCCCTTTCCAGAAGGCGCCCCCAAAATTTGGGAGGCACAGGTAACCTGAAAAGGCAGAGTTTAATGCAGTTTCTGGAAAGATGGGACTTCAGAGGCTGCTCACAATCCGGACGCCAGTGTATCTTCCCCAGGCGGCTGGTGGAAGGCTCACGGGGCAGGCACGAGACACACAAGCTCATGCAGACAGGCATCTGTGTTCGTCTCTTCAGCCTTTTTTTTCAAGTTTGAAGAACAAAGAGCATGAAGGCCAGGCCCCCTTGCCCCTTACTAAGCCTCAGCGCAGCCTATACAGAGCCAACGATAAAGCGGCATCGCCTGGCAGGCCATGACAGAGCTTTCCAGAAACAGAAACCAGGGCATGAAAGGGAAGGCTCACACCACCCGTCCCCCACTGCGCCGCTGGCCCTGCCGGGCTGCACGGCTACCAGACGGGACGGGAGGTCCCTGAAAGCATCCAGCTGCCAGGACGTTCCTCGGTGGTTCTGCAGATCAGGTCTCCCGGCCACTCCAGGGGAAGTGGGGGTGAGACACCCCGCCTTTGATGTATGAACTCCGTCCTGAAATCGGACCCTGAGGCAGAAACTGTTTTCTCTCTTCCATCCCCTGCACCCAGTGGGAAGCTCCAGGCGCACTTCCTCCCCAGCTGCTTTTCCCATATTGTCAATTACCTTCCTGCTGAGGGCAAGGGATTCCTCTGCCCTGAAAGGGTCCACCTCCAAAAGGCCGCCAGTTTCCTCCTTCCTCTTCTCCACATGAGGTGACCCTCAGTCTCACACACCGGTCAGTCGGGCGGGATGTGTCCTCTCTCATTGACTTAACATCAGAGCTGGCTACAGCTTGTGTCCATCCAGAGCTGACAAATTTGAACCCAACACCTTCACCCAGGGTCCCAGAATGGTGAACCCCAGGGTCTGGCTCAGAAGGACACATTTTTGAGTTGATTCAGTGAAGTCCTGGATTTTTCTGGGTATCGAGAATGAAATCTAAATAACTTATGTATTCACAGTGTTCTGGAGTTTAGGAAACCCTGGACCGGGGAGCTGACGAGATGCTGGCTGCAAGCTTCGTCTTAGGAGGCTGGTGGAAAAAACTGACCTACAAATAACAATCTGCAAAGCTGACATTTACTGTGTGAGGCATAAGACAGGGAACAGCAGAGGCCACGGCTCCGCGTGTCACGGGTCCTAAGATGACACTTCTGTCCAGGAGCAGGAGAGAGCAGACCACCAAGGGGCCCGGCCCACGTCAGGAGGGGCTTCACAGAGACCCTCCCCCTCCCCAGGATCAACAACTGACCCACGACGTAGGACTCGGAATAACTCTGGAAAATGAATGTGCTCCCTAAGACAAACTTCCCACGAGGCAGGCGTGTAAATAGTTCATACTTCACCGACATCAGGACGAAGCAGGGCGTGTACGTCTCCTAGCACAGGGTAAAGTCATTCCCAGCTGTTAGTACTTTTTTATAGTATAAATAAAAAGTGTTACTTCCCCTCAGACCCTTCCAGTGACTTCCCACGGTGCCTGGCATAGAATCCACACTTTGTCCTTTACCCGCCATGGTCAAGGCATGCGGTTCCTCTTCTTCCTCCGCCCTCTAACCCACCCCTCCCTCGGTGTCACAGGTCCTCTGTCACTGTGTAACAGAAATCGTAACTGGGCCAACTCCACTGGCTCAGGAACCACTCAGGGGATCAGTACAATTTACTTCTGGGTGTACCTGGGGTTAGGAAGCACTGCCTAGGGTGCACTCTCAGGCACTGTCCCGGGCTCTGCTTCCTGGCCACCGTAACTAAGCCACTCTGCTCCCCCACCAGCATGCACCATGACGTTCCTGCCCTGGAGCCAGGAAACCACGGACTCAATCCCGAAACCTGGAGCCCATCCTTTCCCGTTTATGCAGCACGTGTGGGTACCGAGTCCCAGCCACAGGAGAGCTGGCTGACACCCGTTCTGAGCCTCCTTGAGCACACGCCCACGCTTCCCCTGGGCCTAGAAGACTCTGTTCTTTAAAGGACTTGGACCCCACTTCTCTAAGGATCAGCTCCACAACCAGTTTCTCAAGAAACCACCGGGCAGAAATGCTTCCCGGCCGCGCTATCTGCTCACGTTGTTGAATGCCAGTCTTGCTTCCTCCACTGCCAGCTCCGAGAAAGACGGAGACTGTGCCTGTTTGTCCCTGCATTCCTGGTGCCTAAACTGAGCCTCAGCGCACAGCGCGCTCTTTCACGAGGAGTGAACCACCTCATCTCTGCAGCTGGTGTCCAGCACCACAGGTTAGTACAGACCTTCCCCTCCCGACACCCAAACCTCCTGAACGCGCAGGATCGGGCATGTTGCTACTCTCCCACGCTGCTGCTATTGCGTGTGTGTGTGTGTGCACAAGCGTGTATAATTATAATTATGTATTATTGAAGAAGAAATTGTAAAGTTCTTTAATAGCTTCTCTTCATTTGGCGAACGTCCAAAGAGCCACTTAAGGGCCTCGAGCTGATTTCCCACTTAGCAAATTAAGGCTCTGGGCCGAGGAGCTCACAGAGCCAGGTCCCTGCCACCACTGCCGCCACGAGCCAGGGCTCTGCACGGGCCGCCGGGTCAGGAGGGAAGGGGCGGGCAGAGGTGGCCACAGCACTGGCAACACCAGAACCAAGGCAGATAGAAATGCAGGACTGCAGCGTGGAGGAAGAACAAAGGGGTCAGGAGACCCAGGTGCCAGGGCCACCTGCAAGCTGTGACAGTGGGCTGACGTGTGAAGTCCTAACCCACGTTACCCCAGAATGTGAGCCCACCTGGGTACAGGTCTTCACAGAGACCATGAAGTCGAGGTGGTCATTAGATGTGTCCTAAGCCAGGATGACCAGGGTCCCTGTGAGAACAGGAAATCTGGACACAGGCAGGAGGAGGCCACCCGCTGTCACTTTGGTCTGGGACTTCGGCCCTCAGAACTGCACAGAATAAATGCCTGTTGTGCACGTCCTCGAGGGTCACCAAACGAGCACACAGCAAGTCCCTAGCTTTCTGGTGTCCGTCTCCAATGGGACACCCCGCTGCCCAGCTCGAGGGTTTGCTTGAAGACAAAACAAAACTAGGGTGGGTGGGAGGCAGAATCTAGGGGTCCTGCGCCCGCAGTAAAGCAGCTACAGTCAGGGCAGGGGACTGTGGGGTCCCAGGCAGAGGTGTGAGAAGCGGACGCAGCCTCAGCAAGCTCCTACCGCTAATGCCGGGAAGGGCGGGGGCTGCCCTCCCGCACAGCAGCTTCGTGGATGTGGAGAAACAGAACTTGTATGGGAGAAGGGAAGGGGAACAGAACAGAAACCAGTGATCTCCGAGAAATTTAAAGAGGAAAAGACCTCACTTGAGTCCCTAGCAGTCTGCCAAACACATGCAACACCTTTTATTTGTATGGACCTTGCAGGTCTCAAAACACTTAAAAGCCAGCATGTTCTCTTTAACCTCCTGGAGGCCAGGAATCCCTCAGGGAGTCTGGCAAAGGCTATGCACCTTCTCTCCAGAAAGACACCAACCCACGCAGGCACGTGACACACAACACAGCAGCGCTGTGCAGGAGAAATCTCCACAGTGATGAACATGCAGATCTGCTCTGCCCTGACAGGGGACCCACTGGCCACTGCGGCTCTGAGCCCTGAATGTCACGACCACAGTGTCCTCCTAATCACGGTCTTGAGCCTTTCCGGACATGCACTGTGCCCCTGAATCCTGCCAGCATCCTTGCAGGTGGGCAGGTGTGGTTACGGGGGCTGTCGTCTTCACAGACTCCCCGGATTTGGAACTGAAGCCTGCATCAATCTGACAGGCAGAGTCAATGGATCCATCTCTTCCCGGTTACCTAACACCCGCTTCACAAATGCAGGCCCTGGGCCCTCGTAAGGCTCTGAGGGAAGTTAACTCTCCTCACCAAAACAACCTGAATCCACGCAGGACACAACTGTGAGGTTACAAAGCGAGGGCTTCTCTGTTTCTTGAAACCTCCAGCAGAGCTGAATGGAAGCCACCCTGACTTTGTAGTAGAATGTCCTCTACCGAGGGTCATCGCTGGCCGGCACTTTGGCAGAGGGACAGTTTCCTGTTCCCATTCGTCTTGTCTGGGTCCCTAAGAGGGCACGGTGCTGGCACAGATGCAGTCCCTCCATGCCAGACTTCAGCTTCTCTAGCGTGACTCCCAAGAGGACACCGGAGACCTCCCACTGGAGGTGGCCTAGCTGCCCCCCTCATAGCGCCCCCTGCTCCAGGCCAGCACAGTTCAGAGCCGTGCTCGGGGAGCGCAGGACCCTCATGGTGCACAGCACACAGGTCATCGTCACTCTGGCCTTCAGGTCTCCACAGTAACCAGGCCACCTGCAGCAAAACCTCAGAGTTTAATAGGTCACTCTCACCTTCCAGCCCAAACCTCTCATCGCTGGTGACTTTTAGTCCCTCTGTTTCTCCAGCACGTTCCGATTTATCAGCGTGCAATCCAACACTTGCCAATCTTCCCCCACAAAAAAGCCTCCTCTAGGCCAGCCTGGAAACCACACTTCTCCACGAAAACGTCCAACTCCCAGGCCTCCAGGGGCCCCATCTCTGCAGCTTGCAGGGCTGCACGATGCTTTCCACACTGCCCCACTGTGTGGTTTCCTAATTCTGGGATCCCCACCCCACTCATCTTCAGCAGGCTGAAGGCCTGGGCAGGGAGCAGACAGCAGAGGAGATTCTCAGACCCGGGCCTGCCCCAGTCTCCCGCTCCGCAGGCCAGGGCGAGTCCTGAGAACCTGCATTTCCAACCATCCCAGCCTGACGCTGCTGGCCCGACAGCAAGACCTGCTTGTGAAATGAACACGTGACGGAAGGATTAAAATCCCCCTTCAATGTCCTCCTCCCTTAATGGCTCCAAAAATGAGCCCTAGAAAGAAGGGATAAAAGATAAGACTTTCCAATATTTACTTCTAGATAAGCAGCAAAAATACAGACAGCAGAGCAGGGGTGATGGCAAGAGGAGACGAAGGGAAGTTAAGCCATCTGGCTTCTTCGCCCCACTGGGCACCCCCTGTAAGATCCCCCCAGAAGTGAAAAACAGATTCTTCAGCCAACCACATCACATACTCAAAAATACCCTGGGAAACACTTCAACTCACTAAGCCTAACACTAGGAATTTTTTCATAGGAAAATAACCAGAAATAACCGTGAAAATGATGCGGAAGGAGGAAGAGCAATAAAACTCTTTTCAAAACAGCCAGAAATTTGGAACAACTTAAATGTTTGGCAACAGAATCGAGATTCAATAAATCATGGTATGTCCATAAATGAAATATTATGAAGCCTCTTTAAATGCTTTTACAAAGCATATTTACTGAGATACATGATGACAAATGAAAAGAAAAGCAACATAAACAATATAGCCTAACTCTGGGTAAAAACCACACACGAACACAAAGAAACAGGTTAAAATTACAGACACAAAGGGAGTTATGCATCCAAGAGGGGTTAGAAGGGCAAATTTTTTTAAATTGTAACACGCCTATTTCACTCACACACACTGCCTGTGCCATTATTGTAGGATATTCAAAGAAATTACAGGCTGTGCAAGGTTTATACTTTCTGTTTCTTCCAGGGAAGGACCAAAAGAGCAGAGCCAAAGCAGAAACATATTTATAAGCCTTCCGCACCCGCTCTTTCATAAACACCAGCCACGATCCGGCTGCGTCAGCAGAGCACACGCAGGCAGCCCCAGCTCCTGCTCCTGCTCCTGCTCCTGCTCGGCTGTACCCGGGCCTGCTCAGAGCTCACTGCTAACCCGCACTTGGAAACGCGCCATACCCCCACAAAGCGGTCCCCTCTGGGGAACGACAGTGACCATGCATCCGCCCAGCAAGCTGCCATCTTCCAGTTCTCCAGGCTGTCTCTGCCGACCGGCTTTCAGTAACACAGGTTGCTAAGCAACCCCCAAGGAGCCGGGAAGATGGAAAAAAGTGCCTGCCAGAGATGCTTTATGACCCGAATGAGCTGCCCTACGTGTGTCTGGCTGCCTTCAAGGTAACCAAATAAGAGATAACACTGGGCTATTTTTGCATCATGAAGAAAAACATTTGGCTCCTGCCCAGCAGGGCAATTACCTATCAAAGCCTCGGCAAGGCCCCGTGGGATGAGAAATGGTAACGGATATGGAGGGAAAGAGGCGTCACTGACCTTCATAAATGCTGATGATATGAGGGTGGCTGAGGGATGACATGATCTCAATCTCTCGTCTGATGTGAACCATGTCTTGTTCATCCTTAATTTTGTCCTTACGAATGGATTTTATAGCAACCTATAAAGTCAGGAAATGAAATGTTACTCAGAGAACTAAACAGATGCAAATCAGCCATTGGGGGGAGGGTTAAAAAATAAATACAGATGTTACTTGTTGGCAAAACTGACAATCACCAAAACAAAGTTCCAAAATCCCCCCGTCATGTCTTTCATTTAGAGCAAAAACATCCTTCTCCCAGCAACAGAAAACAGCTTTTAACAGCCTGGGGTTTAGGATCATGGTTTTTTCATACAGCACAGGCTGCCTAATATGGCAAGGTTCATTTACTCCAGGAATTCTGGGTAGAATTCGGACCACCAGTTCCAATGCACAACGGTGACTTTGAAAAAGCATTGTTATGCTGAGGAGGAGTACACGCCTGTAATTCCAGCACTTAGGAGCCTGGGCTACAAAGTGAGTTCAAGGCCAGTCTGCACTGCATATCAAGGTCTTGTCTCAAAAAAACCAAAAAGACAAAAAGAAAAAAGCATTCCTCATGGGGCTGAGTCCAGACCCAAACTCCAGGCTAGTTCCACCCCAACCCCTGGATTAAGACTCCAGCCTGGGCTTCTAAGTAACTGCTCGAAACCAATCTCTCCCACACCCTTGCCTGCCTGGGACACCTTCCCCCATGGGGGTGTGACAAGAGACTCCTCTGGAGCAAACAGGAGAAAACAGAGTGACAGAAGGGGAAGGGGGAAAATGTATCTGTCAGCAGAGCCACCTGTGCTCGTAACAAGCGGGGTGGTCACTTAACCCACTCTGGCTCTAACTGGGGGCAAAACTACACAGGACAGAGGGCGTCCACAGGTAACAGGAAGCCCACTAACCAGGCTGGGCCCTGCCCCTTCTCACAGCATGGTCTGTGACCGCGACTGTCACCTGCATCACATGCTCCTGGGTTAGCCGCCCTTCACAGGCTCAGAGCCACCTGCAGAAACACAGGCTGTCACCAACAGCAGCCCTCAGCACCAGCCTGGCAGCCCAGGCGGGGCTGGATCAGACTCTGCAGAATCAGGCTCAGGCTTGGGAGCGGCTGCCACTCCTGCCTTACCCGGCTCCCCACGAAACCCTGCACAGTGTGCCTTCCTCAAACCCAGTCTGTCCCTCTGTGACTCAATAGGACCTGGGAGGCTGTGGCTGGTTTGGCTGTCCGCTGACCTCCGGAAGCACAGACGCTCCCTGGGCCCTGCCCCCCTCGCCCTCTCCCATCAGGGTCCTTGTTCCTCTTGTCTCTGTACAGGTGGGGTCATTCGCACTCACTTCACCATCTCAGGGGCCCAGGGAGGCCCTGCCCTCCCCTACACCATGGCTGACCCCGGGCCTGGGACCCCACGGCCTCCTTCCACCATGCGGCCAGGCTCAGGGCCACCCCAGCCTGCCAGCAGCCCCGAGTTGCAGGTAGACAGGGTCTCCTCCGTGAACAGAGGCTTTATCTTATCCAGGGGAGGCCTGTGGCCGGGCATCTGGTGCTGGAGGGGCAGGCAGTGAGCACAGAGGGGCTGTGGAGTGTGTGCCTGGCTGCTGGACCAACTCCTGCATCCCTCTTCCAAAGAAGATGGGCCACGGGCAGCTGCTGCCCTCTGATGACACAGCCCCTGAACTGGGTCCCCAGATGGTCCTCTGTCAAATGGCACAGGAACACAGCCTTTCACCCCCAGGGGAGCCCACTCCAGGCGGGGAAGGATGTCTACAATCCAGCACTCAGATGGCTACGACAGGAGGACACAGTGAGTTTGAGGCCAGCTTGGGCTGCACAGCGAGACCTCACTGCAAAATAAGGAGGGAAGAAGGGAGGGAGGGAGGGGCTGGGAATGAGCCCCCCTCAGGTCCCCCCAACAAGCGTGGAGCAGCTGTGGGACACTTCCACAGGCATGGAGAGGGCAGACCGAAAATCAACCAAAGCCACTCGCTGCGGACACCCAAAGGCCTCCACGCAGTGATGACCATCGTGGCTGTCCCTCCACCAGTGCTCACTTCTGCCTCTGATCCACTGGCCACCAAAGATGTCAGGGGGCCCATTCTGCTCCCCATTTTAAAGGTACAGTGTGAGGTCAGAGCACAGATGTTAGAAACCGTGATGACAAACCAAGAAAACCTAACAGCAGCCACCCAAGCTCTGGCATTCGGTAAGCACACGACGCATGGCACAGTCCTGCACTGAGAGTTGGCACACCGCAGACCTCTGTGCCCTCCTGGCGCCACCCCCAGGGGCATGTCAGGCCAGCTGTAATTATCCTTCCTCTCCATCTGCCTGCCCTGCATCAGGGCTGTGTCCCTAGGACCCAGGCTGCTAAGAACCGCTGGGGTGGTTTAAAGGACAAGGAGAGCCGTAAATGCAGCTCCTAAATGGGCACCTGCATCATGGAGCCGAAGGACAACAGAGCCGGGCACAGAGAGGCAGTGCAGCCTGATGGTTAGGAGCACCGGTCCAAGCGCTGGCTGGAGGTCCCCATTCAATAACTATTAGCCTTCGGTACTCAGAGCACATGTCCCCCAAGCAGAACCTTCCTTCCGGCTTTCCTTCCTGCCTCAGGGCAAACAGGTGCGCCTCCCAGCCCACTCGGGGACAGTGAGGAGCAGAGGAGCAGAGACCACTAGGTCATCACAGGACTGAGTCCAGGCCCAGGCAGGCGGGGAGGCAGCTGGAACCCCCAGCACGCCCCGGTCACCCGCCTGCCTCCTTAGTGTAGCCCCCTCGGCTAACGGCACAGGGTCCCCAGTCGGCCTCCCGGACTCTGACAGCTCATTCATCGTTCTCCATACATCAACCCCACACCAGGTCACAAAGGGTGTGGCCTGGCTCCACCCAGCCCTCGAGGTGGGAGGCAGGGACAGAGACTCAAGCCACAAGCAAAAATCACACCTGCAATGACAAAACACGCCATCCAGGGGCCACCAACCACATGTGGACAGGATTATTTCGGGGAGCTCCTGGCCAGGCACCCTCGCTGTCACCTCTGCAAAGAACAGCGGAAGTGGGAGGAGGAGACCAGGCATCATAAACCCCACACCCACCTGGAAACCCACGTCGTGGGGCACCCGTCCCATGTCACACTCCAGAGCGAGCCAGGCCCGGACGCGTGTCTGCACCAACGCAGTGCCAGGCCCCTCCATAAACGCGCCCTAGCCAGACAGCGCCATACGCCTTGTAAAACGGGGTGCTTTTAAACACGGCCACCCGCTATTTAATGTGTAAACTGCACACAGCTGCCAGGGCAGCCCAGACCCCGTGAAATCTGCCTGTTTAAGAAGTGTGCTCAGCCCTGCCAGCCTCAGCCTCTGGGTGAAGTGCGGGACCCAGCCAGCCACCTGTCCCGCCCCAAGAGCTGGCCGTTTCTTCTTCTGCTCTGAAAAAGCACCAGAATGCTCCCGCTCTGCAGCGGCTGGCCGCGCTGTCCTGCAGGGCTGCTGTGGTGCAGAGCACCTGGTGACAGAGGCGAGAAGACCCTCGCAGGGCTCAGTTTCGCAATCTGTCTGATGGATTACCAGCCCTCCTTCTGGGGGTTCTTGGTGAGGAATGGAAATCACGTCAGTGCCAGCACACGGTCTTCACTCACTAGACGGCACTGACTATACACAAGGCCTTGGCTGGGGAATGCGGTGCCCCGGAGCCTGGGCCATGCTTACGGTGTGACAGCCCCACAGCACCTCGTACCCCAGAGAGCTCCCCACACTCCACGCAGCACACACAGCCTCGGCCGTCCGGATCCGGGCACGAGGCAAACACAGAGGAAAATGAAAGCTGGCTGTCCCGGGGGCCACAGGGCAGGCCAGACTGTGTGTCTGCGAGGCCCTCAGGGCAACCCTGTTCTCTGCTGCCCCCACCCACCCACGGGCAGGGGACCTGGAACTGGGGCACCTGGCGTCTTGTGACAGTGCAGACCCGATCCACAGGTCTGGCAGGGCCGGGACTCTTGCGTCTCCAGCAAGGTCTCTAGGACGTCAGCCAGCATCGCCGGTGCAGGCACCACACCGGGGAACCAGGTCTCACTGCTTTGTCCTGGGCTGGGATGCCCAGTGGTCTTCATGCCCTTGGCAGGATTCTTTAGGGTAGCAGCACTGACATTTACGCAGTGATCGAAGTATGCGGTAAATATTCAGATTTATGGGAACAGGCACACTCCCGGGAATCTCCCTCTAGATCCCTCCTCGTACTGCAGACATGTGCACCCCATCTCTCGCTGCTGTCTGAAGCAGCTCTGGAGGTCTTCTTTCATGAGTGTCTTCATGAGGTGTGATCAAAAATATAGTGAACGCAGCTATCAAAGTGCCACGGAAAGGCAGCCCCATAAAATCACAACACGGGGTCCTCGTCCTCCTTCTCCACTGGATCTGGCACATACAACTTCTGGCTCTTCCCCAAAGTCAAGGTGACCATGAAAGGGAAGCACTTCCAATCAGCTCAAGACCCCAGGACATCCAGCACGCCAGAACTGAAGACATTCAGGCAAGAGGGCTCCGGGGCAGCTTCAGAACGCAGCACAGACCTGGGATGAGCACGCCCAGAGGAAGGTGGCGTTTGGAGGGACATTCGTGGCCATGTGTCTTTTACTGTGATTCATGTTTCTAAATTTCAACATTCGCTGTGGTTTTCAGTCACACTGAGTCCTAACTACAACCTCCCTACTCAGATAATAAAACTGAGGCACCACAAAAATAAAACAGGGCCAGAGCTGGGGTATTCCAGGTGATGGCCGAGTCCAGCCAGGGCTGGGGTACAGGGAGGAGGGCATGGGGGGCAGCACAAAAGATGACAGAATCCCCCTCTCAGGGGCCAGGTGGGTCACACCAAGAAGGCGGCCGTGTCCAGGCTTCCTGTGCTCCCTGGGAGCGGGACGCAGTGTGGGACGTGGAGTCGCCCTACCTCACCATTCTGGCCCAAACTGCCAGCCAGCGGCTCCCTCACCGCCTCGGCCCAAGTCATCTGGCCATGCTACCCAGAAGGCCTTGTGGCAAGCAAAGCCCCGAAGTAATTCAATGACCCTGCTCTCCGAGGGCTGGACCCCAGCCAACTCAGGACAGCACCCTGCAAGGTGCCAGGATGCCCAGTCCTGGGGCCCCAGCCAGTTCCTCTTTCTCCCCATCCTGTTAAGTCCTGCCTTTACCTGGGTGTTTTTTTTTTTTTTTTCCAGACAGGAGTGGGCTGGCAGCCA